TAAATTATTTTATTCAAAATTTAAAATTGTTACATAGTTACAAATTAATTATTTATATTAGTAAATTTTATATTTTCCGTTACACATCTTAATAAAACGTTACAATTAGACACTGAATTGAACAAAAATTGCTGAAGGAAGTTAAGCTATTTGCCGAGTCTATTATAAGATTAAGAGAATACGAAGGTTAATCAAAGGAATTGAGATGATTGTTTGCAACAGCGTTGAATGCTTTTCTTCCATAGACGTGAAACGGTTACGCGACGCAAACGGCGCGACAAGTTATCCACAACGTTCGAATTGCCTGCCATCGAATTTAAGCAGCGAGTGAAAACTAGTCGGTAAAGGATATTCCACGATTTTATAGCGATGGGTTTAAATGAGAATTTTCTCATTCACTTCTATCTGCGAAAGGTACTCGCTACCATCCCTGAGATAAGTCATGATATCTTAGAAATCATCTCTGAAATTTAATTATGACATTCCAATTAAAAGGAAACCGAAAACTTTCGGAGAATGGATTGAACTCATCGCTAATGAATGTAACTTAGTGCAATATCTTTCTATCTCTCTAACAGGCATACCAATGTGTTAAACCATTTTACATTCAGATTAACGAAAGCTCGACAACATGCGGCTCGAGTCGGCGATATGCCATCTAACTCTGTATTGGTCACCGAATTCGCATCGCAGAAACAGACTGATCAAGAAAGGTGTCTTTATGCACGAGATCTTGAATATTTTTGTTAAACACAGATACATGTATTAAATGTCACAACACTTCATCGCTCAATTAATATAACCGTCGTACAATCGAATTTTTACGCACTATTTTAATTATTTTATAACTATTTTATTATTACGCACTAATTATTATTGGAACGCACTAATGATTATTATATCATTTCCATTTAATCTTGATGTTGTATATATATGCTTCTGTTTTTTTTTTCTATAGGGATATCTATTTTATATTATTTTTCTTTTTTTCTCTAATTTTTAGAATCTATTTGCAGTTTACTCCAGATTAATATGCAGAAATCAAAAAGTATGCCAGCATATATTTTTTTTAAATACACCGCTCTGATGCAACAAAACATTTTACTGCCGCAACTGCACTTCTTGCTAAACGCATCTATATACGCAATTTGATGCGATTGCAGATCGCAAGACAAAATATATTTTATAATATTCTGTCCTAATTAACTTTTATATATTTCATGTATTAAAATTATCAGATTTTTTTAGTTGTTCTTAACGGAAAATATTTGTGCATTAATATTAAAAATGATAAGTCGTTTCTTATAATCTTGCTATTTATCGTGCAAGTCAGTCGCCACTTGCAAAACAATTGTCCTTTGCAGCGGGACAATAAATTGATTATTATCACTCAACATTGATGTGGTGTTATTTTGAACGTAGAATCACGAGTAAAATATTTATTAACCTGATATAAAGAGAGTAATTAGAATAACAAGAGTAAGTAATTACAATGTCTGATAAAAAAAGAGTAAATATAAATATTATATAAAAGCGGTCAACAGTTAATTTTTTAATTTTTTTCATGTGCAACAAGAGCCAATTTGGGTCTATTGCAACTGCGCACAAAGATGATTCATAAGATGAATCCATAATATGTATTTTGGCATTTCACAAAGTCGACTAGCTTTTATTATCTAAAATTTAAATTTAAAATTAAAAGCTATCTGCATTGTATCTTATTTTGTTTGTGATTTACAATCCTCAAGTGTAACACCGCCAAGTTTTTTACGTGCGATTGCGATATAAATGCATTGAGATTCATTTTAGACTCGCGCGATACAGTTTTTATACATTTCGAAGTAATGCGTATATCAACAGCCATAAACCGTAATAATTATGCACGATGGAGAACATTGCTAAATCGTTCCCCTTCACGCGTATAATGCGTGATAATCCAGTGAATTAATATTCGCGTGCGACAACTCCTCGGAAAAATGCGCGTTTTGCAACGCAATGTTTGTAAAAATCACTATATAAATTCGTCCGCATATCTAACTAGATACAGCATACTTTTTTTCAATAATTCAAAAATAATAATCTATCTAAATTACCAACAATCAATTGTTTGAGCTTTAATAATTTAAGTTTGTGCAACAAGTAAGTTCTGTGGTAACGTTACTTCTAATTATCGTCATGTGAATAAAATGCAAACATGTTTTTTTGAACAAGAATAATTTTAAGAAATCCTTCTTTTATCGTAATAATAACAAATTTATATTTATATTTATATTAAGAGATAGCATTTTATTCCACAAGGGTAATACTCGCATTCTCTGGCGGTTCACTAGCTATAAAGCACGCGGGATATTCATGTGTTCGCTCTGAAGGAAGAAAAATCGCGAAATAAGATCGGCGAAACAACATGAGTGAAACAGAAACCGCGAGAATTCGCGCTCGTTGACCGCGCCGATTTGCGTTATGAATTCCGCATCCGAAAGTATATGCGTGCATCTGTACACACACACACACACGTGCACATATACACCTGCGTGTTATACCCACAGAGGATACACATGAGCGCGCGTCCACATTGCCCAATGAATTGCCACGCGCGTCAGCGAAAAGAAAGCCGCACGCCTATTGCGTAATAACTCGCATCGCTCTTTCTATATGCCGCGCAATTCGCACTGAGATTTGCAGAATCGTTTCCCGCCATGCGTGTAAAGGTGCCATTACATGGCAGCGTTAAGCGTCGAGCGTCTGCGTAGAAAATTGCGCAGAATCTAATTTCAGCCTAGAATCTATCTCTTTTAAATTCTGCGCATCTTTCTGCGCAGACGCTCGACGCTTAATGCTGCCATGTAAAGGCACCTTTAC